ACGAGATGCGCCAGTTTAGGGCCATTGCAAGATCGCCGGTGCGCCTCACCAGAGAATCAAATGACATTTTTCTCCGCAGACTTAGCCTTGTGCCCATACAAGAGTATTTCAAGACGTTCTTGCAAGGCAGGATTAAGAAGTGCCAGAATGAAACCATTCAGCAATATTTTGCACGGGTTCTGAATTTTCGTATTCAGGACTCATCTCAGGGTATGAGCACCTCAGCTCATTCAGAGATACTCCTGCCGGTTGCGCAGAGCGATGGAGTTTCCTGCCCCACTTGCGGTATGTATTTTCTGGACCAGGCCTCCATGCGCAAGCATCATGCCAAGAAGCACAAGGTGAGTTTGGTTAATCCTGATCGAAAAGATTTCGTTAGCGGCAGCAAATTGATGTTGCTGGAACAATGGTTGATAGCATGCCTCAATGTGCCTACTGTGGGAAAGCTTTGACAGATTTTCGAAATTGGAGAGCGCACATGACCTCTGCCGAAATGCTTTCCCACTCTCAGGCCATGAATTTGCATGTTTCTGCTGCAGAGGGTGACAATGGCTTGGGCAAACGTGCCGGGAGCAGCAGATTCTTTCGGTGATTAAGCGACTGGAAATTTTTCATCTCTTGCGGAACAACATGTGGAGAAGTTTGCTTGATCGACCACCTCTACTTCAAGAGCTTGTGAACTTTTGCGCATTGTGCGGCAATGGTTCTCCGAAAAAGGTCAAGGCCTCAAGATGGCTTATCGAAAGATGCGTGGTTCGGCATGGCAACTCAAAGCAGATGCTATTTTACGCTGTGCTCAAGCAGGCTTGAGCAAAATCCCTCCTTGTGCATACTGCGGTGCTTGCTTTCAGAAACCTGGCACGCACAAGAAGCCCTGCAAAGTTCTTTTTCAGGCTTCAATCCTTGGTCTCACTGTCTGCCAGGACCAGCATGGCGGACCTCTCGTCAACGGCGAACACAGAGACCGACTCCATCCTGGAAGCCTTGGAGCAGACAAAGAAAAGTTGAGGCAAGCGGCAGTGGAGGAGAGCAGTCCAGCACCCTTGCAAAAGTTCCACTGAGGGACCTCAAAGGGTCATCAACAAGGCAAGGCAGCCCAGAGACTGGAAGCAGGAGTGCACGGAGTGCACGGAGTGCACGGCTCCCAAAGAGGAGGTGGAAAAGTTGAAGGACATGGTCAAACTTTTGACGAAGCTGACCCTGAAGCACGAGGACGAGAGCAGCAGGCTTCGGGCAGAAACGGTTTTTATGCTCTGTTTGGACACCAACGACGAGGGCATCACGACCGATCTGCTGGACGTTTCCAACACGTGGAAGGAGCTGCGGGCCCAGAACAAAGTGTCAAGCAGCCTGAGGGTGACACTTTGCCTTGCAATCTTGAAGGAGCTGATCAGTCTGCACGGACTCAGTGAGGGAAAAGCTGGCCAGCAGCGGTTGGATTCATATTGGCGACCAGCCCCTGGATCCGTCCTGGACATACTTGGAGTGGAATCCAGCCACAAAGCAGTCGGAGGTAGCCAAGAGGGTTCCAATCAAGAACTATGCACTGATGGAGATCCTCAGTAAGCTTCAGGTTCTCCTTCCAATGGACATGGTCCTGACAAGACTGCACCCAACAAGACCACTGGCTCAGTCCTACCAAGCAGAGGTGCTGCCATTTTTCATGTCGCTGGAAATGAGGAGCGAAGAGCCCAACAAAGCATACTCTTATGCTGCAGCTGGTCGATCTCTCAGCCCTCAAGTTGATCGGCATGAGGTTGAGAATGGAGCGCCCAACGCGGCAGCCCCATGGCCAAACTGCTGGAGGAAACCTTTCTGAAATCCAATCTGTGCGATCGGGAGCCGAGGGAGGACTTCCGCAAATCTGGTTAAGCGGCAGCAGGGACAGCATCGAAGTCGGCGGACGGAGCAATGGAGCCGAGCCAGACAGAGGAGAGCAAGTAGTTTGCAGAGGTCCGCAAAGATTGATGTCGACTACTTTGCTCAACACCGGTAACTGTTGCTATATGAGCACATGTGCAATTGGCTTGTTTTGGCTTGGTGAATGTGCAGGTATTACAGATGCGGCCTATGGTTCAGTGAAGCCTGGATTGATGCTTTTGAGAGGTGGTGCAGTTTCACTAGCACGTGCTTTGTCTTGGTTGACTGTTTTTCAACATTGGCAGGATGTCGACATTCAGCATGATGCTGCTGAGTTCTTCAAATATTTTCTTGAGCAGGCCATTCCCATTGCTTTCAATGGTGGCTGGGAATCCAGGACAGAGTTGATGGTGCCATCAGCATTGTTGACTCAGGTCCGCTATCTGTTCCTATACCGTTGCCACTGGCTGGTCTCTCATTACATCGTTGTATTGATGAATGGGGGACTCAGGCTGTTCCTCATGCACTAAGGTCAGACCATGCATGGCTTCTTGCTACTTCAGCTCAGGCGGTACAGCGTTGTTGGTGGCAATGTTTGCAAAGATCGGAGGGGCATCAGCATTCATCCAGGCCAATTTTTTGGCATGTCAGTTTTCCTCACCAACGATAGCTTGGAGAGGACCATGTGCACATATAGGGTCGTCTTTGTCATCTACCACCTTGGTAACAGTGTGCTTTCAGGATATTATATGATTGGTTTGGGCACAGCGCGCCTTCTCATCTCTTTGGACTGACAGCTCAGCAATGGAAGTTCCTGATTTGTGATTATAAGACTTCTCCTACAAGGGCTGGAGCAAGGGACATGCAACTTAGGGCTGAAAATGGTTACTTGGTTGGTGCTGTCAGGTCCCAAGGGTAATTTGCTTGTGCTCCTGCATGGCGGTACGCCGCGGGGAGCACCCCTCAGCATGCTTTTGTTGCCCAAAGGGACCAGCAAGCACCGAAATCAGAGCCAGATTGAAATCAGTCTTTCACATTTTGCTTGTGTTGCTTTCCCTGCACTTGCTCGGCTTGACTTTCATGGTACAGTACGCAAGGAGTGGATCTGCTTTGATGCTCGGGCAATGAATTTTCAGCCATTTTTATTTACCTTTGGGCCTTTCTTCGCAGGTCATGGATGTTTCATCGGATGAGTCCAGCTATTCTGCAGAAAGCATGGGGTCTTTTGATGGCCAAGAGTGGGAGCGTTTTGCTGGTCGCAGGGCATGTTCTCTCGTTCTGAGCATTTACAGGGAGAAGTTGCTTGCAGATGGCCAGCTTGCAAACCGGGCCATTACTTTGAGCTTGGATCAGCAGCCCTCGGTTTTGGTTGATCAGGACAATCTTGCTATCATGAATTGGGCTGAGCAGCACCTGGATGCAGGGCATTTGGAGCTTTTTCGGCTGGTCTTCACCTGCTGGAAGCAGCTGTTCAGATCCGTTGTGTCTGAGCAGATGCGTCGAAACATCTCTGTTCTTGCTGACCATCCGCGTTTTCCTTCCAGACGTTGGCTTTTTAGATCACTGGGACCTCAACTTGAAATGACACTTGGTTCCCATCGTGACAGGGCACTTGTCGTTCAGGTGGTCATGGAAATGAGAAGGATCCATTCTAACGTGCTTCTCATTGATGGGCTTTGTCTTTATCTTTGCACGCTCCCAGAAGTCGACCGTTACTTTCCGAACCACATTCACTCCAGACTTGGTTTTCCTCCAGTGTGGCCTTAGAACCAGCAACGATGCAGAGTTGCAAGCTTCTTTAGGTGGCGTATCAGTCAAGCTATTGCGTTTTCTGGATTGGGAAATTGGCTATGTATTCATTGCTGACACGGAGTGATCTCCTGAAAGTAGCTGGATTGTATTTTTTCATGGCCTCATGATTGCAGTGAGAGGGATTCTTGATGTCTCACCTTTCCACTTTGTTGATTGTTGCTTCCCTGTTGGACATTGAACCGGTTGCATCTGCTTAGTGATACGTCACGGGATGCAACCCTGAGGTGTACAAAGTACATCGGCCATGCGCTGCCGAGCCTAGGCTTGCCTACACTACAAACCGCTGGGCGTCTTAGTGATGCTGCGCGTGAAAAAGCTGGCACCTGAGCCTCCGGCTTTCGCAAGCCCATTGCGCGAAGATCTGCAACGATCGAAATTTGACGTACCGTGAGCAAAAATAAAAAAAAAATACACAATCGACAGTGGAAAGGGATAGCGTTCCTGGAATGTTTCCAACAAACTATTGCGCAGTTGTGCTGAGCATGCCCTTCCCAGCCTGATTGGGCAGACTTTCAGGCACCTCAGCTGCAGCTGCCTGGCATCGCCCAAAGCAAAACTGCCTGCATACTCACGAGGTTCTCCAGAAGGCGGTCGAGCTACACTTTCGACAGGAGCTCTGTGCATCAGTTGCAAAAAGGCCTGCAAATGGAGCTGCAGAGTGAGTCCAGGCAGCTCAAGAGGATGGACACCAAGACAGCAGGCATAGTAATGACTATGGGAGGATGGTGACGCGATGCATCCCCATGAGGTGCTACTTAGCATCAGGCATACGAGAAGAGAAATGTCACAAAGCACGCATGCTAGCAGCTAGCATTGCCAAAAAGGGATGAAAGTTCTCAACCGAACAGATGCAGCACCGAAAAAGTGAAGGCGGTCGCCCCCAACAAACATGTGAGAATGGCATTGTAGGGTACCACGGGTTGGGGCGCGCTCCACTTTGAGAGGAAAAGACATGTGACTGCGCATGCCGACCTTGCTGGTCAAGCTGAAAGGCGGTGTATCTTGACTGGCCAGCAGTGGCTCATCCAGCCGCCCAGCCGCATCCATTCCTGTTGCTTTTGGATTCGAAAATTCAGGTGCATCAGATTTCGCCTGCAATATCTGAGCTTAGAACACCTGTGCCAGCTACCGCTTTCTGTCCCAGTATGCACATGGAGTGGTGCGGGTATGGCAGGTCCCTCAGGCCTTCTCAGCAGCATACTTCCGGAACATGAGGGCTTGAGAAGGAAAGCAGAGGCACGCAACGCACAATATGTATCTCCATCTGAAACCTGGAATGAGATCGTCACAGCCGAGAGCTTCACATCTTGTGCAAACGAGGCCCCCACCTCGAACAGTGGCCTCCAGGATCCTGCAACAGCAGGCCACAAAGCTAACTGGTCCACCAGGGCAGCTTTAGCTTCGAACAAGTGGCACCTGGCACAACACATGGTGCTGGAGATTTCGCCGCCCAGCCATGCTGAAATGACCTGACAACAAGCTACGCCCACAACCCCATAGATGCCATACACGGAGAGGCAGCCTCCCCATCAACGCCAGAATCCTTCAGATTACCATCTCCTTTTCAGCTCACGGCTTTTCTGCACACTTCGTACCACAGCCGTGCTCCCATGCTCCTTTTTGAAGCCCCTCGCGGCTTTGACCTAAACATCGCTCCCAGGCCGTCGCAAGTGCTGAAGATGCCGTGTGTGCACGGCTCCTTGCAGGATCGCATGTAAAAACACTCCCCCTGTCAGGCAATAGGAAATCAAGGCTAAGTCAGCTCAAAAGCACCTGCCTTGGAGGCAATCGCAACAGCACATCATTTTGATGTGCCTCACAAGAAACCGTTTGATGGTTACTTCACTGTGGACTCTGCGTTTTTGAGGATCTCGTGCGCACATCAACTGCGTGTGGTTGACACAGCAGGATATTTCAATGAACCGATCTTTGATGAAGTCTAGCCTAGTACCCTGTGGATCTCACTGTCGCATTCACTTCCCTACAGTCCTACAGTCATGCACCACAGGCACATCGTCCATCGTCAGAAAACAATCCAGCAGCAACACCACCCCTCACATGCAGCCCGAGGTCACACTAGCCGTCACTAGCACATGCAACTGTGCAGGATGTAAGCAGAATGCAAAACTCACAACATGAGGTCCATCCACAAAAGCATGTACGAGCAGTCTGTAACATCAGGGGAAATGGGAGTCGATGGCGAAGGCCCGGCAACACTGCCCCCTGTACATTGGCCATTGCGATACCCTGCAGAGTTGAAGCCGCTCTGAGCTGCTGACTTGAGGTTCGCCGTCCACCTGCAGTTGGCCAAGCGGCTTTGTGTTTCCTTAGCTGGACTTCCACTAATCATTTCCAATCAGCAAAGACAATTTACGGATTTGACCAGCCATCCATAGTTGACCGAATTAATGGAGTCAAGCTGCTGGGTCTGCTAGGTTTGCTGGCCTCTGAAATACACAGCGCGGAGCAAGCATCGACATCGCAGGCCTCACGGCATAGCAACATGTCCTGCTTCTTCCTAAAACACTCTTCTAGTCTGTACTCCAGGCTTAGAGACTGCTGGCGCTTTGTGACCCTGTCCTTGTACAGCACCCCCATTGCACGACATGGAAATATACCGGAGCTTGCAGCAAGCAAGACATGACATCAGTTGAAGGTAAGGATGGAGTCCACTGCCAGCCTGGCTTTGAGGCCCTGCAATTGATGGCTCACCTTACCAGCAAGATCCAGGTCATCAAAAATGGTGTCAAGACAGATTTGCATGGTTCTCAATACCTCACTCTTTGCCACAACATCGACGCTATGATTTGTGAATTCCTCTAGACCTGCAGCACTTTGGCCGCCTGCCAAAAAAACAGACAGCTTGAACTTCTGAACACGAGGTTACAAATAGCAATCACAGTGGCCTGGCGAGCTGTCTTCCTCATCGCACTCCTGCAAGACACCAGCTGCAGCAACAGCAGACCAAAATGGGCGTCATGGCAGGCCAGTTGGGTTCCTCCGTCTTCCTTGTGGTTTTGAATTGACTCAGGCTATCCATGCTAACTCCCTGATCACCAAAATGAACCACTTGCTCGGCCAGTCAGCTCTGTACGATTCCATGGCTGTCGCCACAGGTTCCCACACTACTGCTCCCGTTACGTGTCGGCTACGGACATGTCAGCCATACCTCTCACGCTGAATAGGAACCGTCACAATCTGTGCCAACACCAAACACAAAATTTGTAAGGCAGTTTCGACGGCCGGATCGGCACCGAGGGGTATTCAGGCGGCACGGCGGAATACACCAGATCATGTGGACATGTGGAGCATTCAAGGAGATAAGGACAAGGACCTCGTTATGTATACTATTGTGCATGCTAGCCAACTTTCCCACAAGTGCGAAGTTAAAACTCTTTGCAAAAAATCATGTCGTTTGGCCAACCGGTTGAATCGATCGGCCGATGGGCCATCGCAGCACGTTCAAAGACCATGTCAAACGTCTCTTGGACTAACCAGAACATGCAGCATGATAGCATATGACCAACTTTGCCTGCAGCGGCAGCCACAAGTCACTTGAAGTTCGAAAGGCAGACTAGAAAGGCCGAAGCTGTCGCAACCAGCGCAGCCAGAATCAGGTAGATCTGGCAGTCTGCAATGTTCATGAGAAGTAGCTCCTTCGCAACATCCTTTCATCTCCATTCCTGCAGGCCTCGCCTTGCATGATCTAGCCGCGAAAGCCTCTTGTCTGCCTAACCACGCTAGCGATGGCCACAGTCAAATGAGCGAACAAAGTGGGCGAGCTCCATGGCCCTCACCGGCTTTGGCCCTTTCCTTCACTAGCTTTGTGACGGCTCTACTGCGCAGGCTGCGCAGGCATTGGCCAACCTGGTTTTGCCTCAACACCCGAAGCATCACAAATTCCAAACGCAAAGGTACAGAAGTTATGCGACTTCGAGGCGCAACGACACCGTAGAGGCTCCCAAAACAGCCAGGTCACTTGGGCACGCAGCTGTGTCCAATGCTCTCAGGACATCGTCGACAACATACACTGTGTGTCAAATGTTTGAATTTCTTGCGTCTACAGACTGGTGAGCATCGATTTCCTGGATCTCAAGCCTTTGAGACTTGGTAGCCCCCCCGCGACCTGAGGAGGAAGGCCTAATCCCTCACACTTGCTGCTTAAGGCTGAGAACATCAGAACATCAGCACGAGCCGCCGTTCCCTGTACAACCCTGCATGTTGTGAGTTTTGTTAAGCTGCAGTTGGTTGAGACAGGAAGTCGGCTGCACTCTTTGCATGCGGATGACTGCAATAGATCGCGCCTCGGGAAGGTTGCTAATCAATTGCAAGAAGCGTTCTTGCGAGATGTCCGCGACAGCTTTCCTTCTGTCCTTCGGTGGCAGTTTGCTTGACATGGTACTCATGGCACCCTCTGACATCCTCAGGTGAAGCATCTTGCAGTGCGCGCATCAGGGAACCTACAGGTCGGCCAGGGCAGATTGCAAGATTTCGAAGAGCTGCTGCTCAGGTAGGCACGCAGGCTATCAGGTTTATCTGTTGCAAAACGCCTCGCAGATAAGAAGGCCAACAAAAATCTCACAGCAAACGGCCAACCACCTCCCGTCACTCACTTCCGTCTCAATGTCCGAGCTGGCACTGCTTGCAGCCTCATACATCACGTAAACTCCTACTATGGCAAGCTGATGACAAACTTCTCCTCCTCGAGGACATCAGCATCTGAATCCACCAGGCCCTGCAACTGTAACCCAATCTGTTTTGGACCTCCAAGTCCCAAGTCTGGCAGATTTGCCTCGGCATTTGCCAGAGATGTTGCCAACCTTGGTGGCATGTGAGGGCTGCAGAATCTGGCAGCCTGCTCCACTTGCAATTGGCGACATAACGCGTCAAATCCGTTAGGAAGACTGCGAGCTGCAATAGCTTTTTGACTGCGGTTCCTGCCACGCAATTTTTGCTAGCTCAGCTAACGTTTTGTGAGACGTTGGAAACATGCGTAGCCCATGACGACCAAAAAGAAAGTGCACAGGAGGAACCTTAGCGAAGGCAGGATTACTGTTGGCGGCATCCAAACCATTCAATATCATCTACTGGCAAAAAGGTAAACAAACAGACTCAACCAAGATGCATAAGGTTTGTCGCAAAGTACACCCAGAAGGCTTCATCCTTCTTCGCCGTGATTTCATGGATGGGGTCACTGGTCCACTCAAAGAAGAGAGGGTGAACTGCTGCGATGCGATACGTGAACTCTGCATTCTGCACGGCAAGGCGGAAATTGTATTCATCATTCCGGTTCAGTAATCTGAGGCCGCCACGGGCTCCAGCCACCCGTGCTGCACCACAAGTGTAATTCTCACCGCCATCAACACAACAGTCCTTCCCGGCTGCCCAGAAATCGTATGTAGCCGGCAGTGGCTGGTCAGAAGCTCCAACGATTGGAACCACACAGTACATGGTCGAGTTTTGATGCCTGACTGGAGGGCTGCAGCACAACATGCTGCATGCAGCGCAAAAATTCTAATCACGTCCCCCTGATATTCATCGACGTACCCCCCTCACCCGCCGCCCCTAATGATTACATGATAATACGAGGCCTGATTGTTTTTAACATCAGGAGGGTGGGTTATTTATTGAAAGAATTAGAGGAGGCTGCCTTTGAAATCCGTTTAAACTCCATGGAATCTGAACACTTAATTAAATAAATCAAATACTTAAATAACACTAGATAGGAATTTATTCGTCAGCTATTCATACATGTTGATCAATTACATATTTACTGAACTTATTATCCATTGAGGCCCCCCAATTCATTATTAGTTGGCCCCTTTTAAAAATAGTCTTCCCCTTTGTAAAAAGAATTTTCAGGAAATTTCGGCCCCTGCATTTTGTATTTAATATTCGGTGGATCTCAAATATTAGGGGAAGGGATTAGACCCGTGCGGCCTGCCCTTTGCCGTAGGAATGATCAGAACAAGTGGGAGGGGCGAGGCAAAGAGCGTAGTAGCAGCACAACTTGAAGGAAACTTGAAAAATTGGCAGCCAAGGTACGCAAAAACCTCAATCGTAAACGTGATGTCTAACGAGGGTTGTCAATGCTTGGGGCGAAGGGTTGCCTAACACTCAATACTAAGGAAACAATGTCTGACGAGTCAACTGGCAAAAGAGCAAACTTCCTTGTGCTAATCGTGCTACGCCATGGCATGATTCAGCTGCACCCTGGAACCTTTCGAAAAGATGATGCGCCCGGCATCGAGGAGCTGCTTCCCCGCAGCACGTGAAGGGTCTACGTTGTCATAACTGTCCAGGTTAGCGATGTCGTAGTAAGATTTCATGTATTGGGTGGAGATTGTGGAGCCGACAACTGCCCCAGATGCCACTGCAATCGAAGACAACACAGCAAGCGCTGTCCACCAAGCATACCCTCGCAAGAAGCGTGGCTGATTGTCGACCGTACCTCCTTTCCTCAACCATCGGCCCCGGGACAACAAGGCGGCCACTACAGTTAGGACAACCAAACTTGCAGTTGCAATCACCATGACAATTCGCAACCACGGGTGCAAGTACACGGCCAATGACATCATGCTCCAGCTGAGGGTTGCAAAAATGGCCCAAGGCATCAGCACCAACAGCGCGAGCTGTGCTGTGCTGATAACAAGCAGCCGGCATGTCATGGGCTCCAACAGCCGCGCTTGCCCTGCTGCGCTGCCATAGTCGGCAGACTTTGTGTACATGGACGAGTATGGGTTCATGCGCCCGGGCTTTGGATGAATAGCACCGGGTCGAGTACGCGATCGGATTTAAGCTTGAGCCATGTCTTGGCAGGTCGCCCCATCACATCGCGTACTGACAACAGTGGTCATCTCCACAAACGAGCATCCGCAAAATCCTTATGGCATGTTAGACTTGGTGCCTTGCTGCGAGCTCAGCGCTTGGGCGTTGGCCAATCGCGTCTGAAGCTGCTCCTGCGACACATCGGCTGCTGAAATGTTCGGACCCACTCAAAGTAGTGCTCCAACACATTCCAAACTTTGGCCTTTTGCTTCAAGAGCATGAGCAGCTCATCCTCAGCCTGAGCACAACCCAACAGCACCTGACAAACATTCGTGAAATGATCTGATGTTGCTAGAGAAAACAGCAACGTTTAGAATGGGGCGTGTATGCTTGCATGATTGAAGATCGGGTCCTCCGTGCCTGTGTCCGAGAGGAATGATCCTGTCACTGCTTTCACCCGATTTCATCCCACACGTTTTTCCAAGATCCAAACTCTGGCTCAACCACTCTCTGTGGCGCAACAGGTGATGACGTGGGCAATGACACACGTACATGTGCCACGGCGATGTTTCACTCCTGCATCGCTGCAGGAATCATCATCGCTACCATCATCGCTGACCTGCATTCTGATTCTGTGCACACCGGCATGACGAAGAGTTTCTTGATAAACCGGCTCAATGCAGACAAGCCTTTTCCATGAGTCGGTTGGTATTGCCTGGGTGTATGGTGCACATACCAAACCAAGCGTGATGCGGCTTCACAACAAAAATACGCACGTTGATTGTGTCACCGCCTGCAAACTCATCGAAATGGAAGGCTTGCTTCATCTTTGCAAGGTCGTGCTCCATGGTTGCAATGTAAGCCTGGATCTAGGACGAAACCGGACAGGCATTTTCACTTTTTGTCCAGAATTACCACACATCAACTCATGACAGATTGGGAATGCCCGTGATTAAAAACGGCTCTTTGAAACACATGCTGTGATCTTCGGGTTTGGTTTTGGTTTACTCTTCGTTTTTGCAGCATTTTCATGCAGGATGGAAACAATGATTACCAGCCCCAACATGTTGCGGATAGCTCCAATGCATGCATGCTGCCTCGTACAAAATTTTCCCGCAACGCTACAGAAGCTGTGACGTCTTGACCCCGACGTGGTTATATAATGTTAAATTGTTTACCTCGGACCCTTTCATTTGCGCGAATGCTTGCCTTGTGTCGCAGGCGTGGGTACAAATCATGCCCGGCACAAAAAACAACGTGCAGCCGCTTCAGCAAATCGTTTCGAGCCGAGGGCCGAGGACAAAAAGCCGCTGTGAGCCACCCTGTGGAAGCCCCGGATAAGCAACACCCTCGAACCTTACGCGGCTCGGCTGCTCGCCGCTGCGTGCAGTCAACATCCGCAACACACAGCTGCATCATAAGGGTCAGGTGCAAAATGGCGTCGCAGCAAAACGCCACGAGCATTGGGGTGACACCGCGCACCAGCAAGTTTAGCCGCCGGCTGTTGGTTGCATGGGCCCCATACACGGCCAGGCCAACCACTGTGGCAGCACCACCTGTCCTTCAGCATGGGGAGCGGGCACGGCTGTAGTAATTCAAGCCAGTGGCAAGAGGGGCGTCGCTAGCAGGACGTGGATCAAGGCTTGGTTTTTTGTCTTGGCGCTCATGTTGCCACCAGCATGCACAATGTCCTTACTCAGCAGAACAGGCGCACATTTTTTTCTTTCGCACCGTTTTAGGCCAATCCTCGGTCCCAGTGTAGGGCGTGGCAGGAAGCCCTAGTCCAAGGCAACCCGGCGGCAGGATGCGGTAGTCCAAGGCGGAAGAAAGTCCAAGAATGACAGTGCTCACTGACTGGCCGCAAAGGGTAATCGACTAGCGAGCGGCGGGGCAGGAACGTCCTCAGCGAGGACGATGAGGACGTCGCTGAGGTCGGGCGCTGTCCCGTCAATTTTGGCGGCATTGCCCAACGGGAGTGGGAGAAGGCTAGTTGCGCCGGCCCGAGCGGCTGCAAAAGAAGCAATGCTGACCAGCGGGACACGTAGGACGTAGGCAAACGTGGCACTTGGGCACTCCACCGGCCACCAAGTTCAATGCCAAGGACGACTAGACGGCAACGCGCCGACTGGAGCAACTCAGGATAAGTTTGCTCCCTCGCCCGACGAGCAAGGCGCAAGGCCGCGCCGGTTGTGCGACGCTGCTGGCGGCGGGGCTGGCCAGTCGAGTCCAAGGCCGAGACAAGCGTGGTGTCGACAGCGAGCTGGGCACCACCCCACAACGGGAGGCCGTTTGCGATGACCTCGATATGCCGGTCAACTTGGCGCTCCTCACGAGGTTAAGGTCGTCCGCCGTTTGGTGCGGAGGCAAAACCCTGAGGACGTATTGTGCCCGTGGCAAGGCGCAAAACAGTAGCAAGAGCCAGGCAACCTGCAAGTCAGGAACGTCCAGGAGCCTCGCAAATGGGGCCCCTTGTTGCGTGGATAGTGTCTCGAGCTGGGCGGCGATGTACTCGGGCGTACCGAGAGGAGTGCCAAGGATACGAAAGCCACGTTCAGATGCGGGGATGTCGGCGTCCCCGACCCAGAGCTGTGCGCCATCGGGCGCGGCTGGCAGATCTGGGGTTTGGATGGCTACAGCGTTCCAAACACACGGCGGGTCTTGGTAGGGTTGAGGCGGATGTGCGCAAACAAGTGATGCTGGAGCCAAGCCAGAAGATGTGCAACGCGGGGAGGGTGGGAAGTCACGTACACATCATCTAGGAAGGCCCGCACACGTTCGTTAGGTAGCATTTCCGCCTGAACGGCCTCTAGAGCCGGGGCAACGCCTAAGGCGAACAAGGCCGGCATCAGCGGATCGATTTGTTCACCGCCCTTTGCCTGGACGATGCGGTGGACAGTTCCCGCATCGTCTTGCCAGAGGAACGCGGATGGCTGGCCGTAGAACAGCCTCACGACTGGCAGGATGGCCGCTGCATCGGGGGTGTTGCGGAGGGCCTGTAGCATGGCGCCGCGACGGATGAGGTCATATGCGCCAATACCGTCCACCGATAACACCAATAGGGCTGGGTCCTGGTCGCATTCGAGCTGGAGGCTGTGCGCAAACGCCTCGGTGCCGGAGCGGGTAGCAAGTACATGCTGATGGGGCCGGGTGGCTTGGTCGAATGCGGGCAGCAAATTGTTGGGCCAAAGTTTGGGCAACAAAACGGCGAAGGAAGTCGCCGACGACGATGCTTCGGACGCCGCCCGCCGGATTGCGCACGGCCACAACTCGGCCCCAGCCCTAGAGCTGCGGCGATGGGTGTTGAGACTTGAGCATTTGAGCGTTGGCGAGGCGAGCGGCGACGGTGCCAAGTGATTCAACGGCAGCATCAACATCCAAGACAAGCCGGACAATTTCTGAAGCGCTGTGCGTGGGAGATCAACCACGGAGTTTGGGCTCCACTGCCGACGGTCGGGGTCAAGTGGCTCATACGGCTGCGGGGCGGCGGGCAAGGTCATGCAGTCGGTGCAGTGTGCTCTCGTCGCCGGGGGCCAAGGGCTCGGCTAGAAGGGCATGCCGGGCGGCTGACAGCTCGCCGAAGTGCGCAAGGTGGACAGCACGATCTGCACGAGAGTCGTTGCTAGTGTGTGGCGGCAGCAGCTGCCGCGGGGCTATGCCGGAAGTTGCTTCGTCGACGAGCGCCGGCCAATCTCCCCGGAAGAGTGCCTGGAACCGAGCACGGAGAGTAGGCTTTGGCAGGCGGGCGACCCCACCAGGCCGGTGGAGCAGCATGCGAGGCAAGAACAACCAAAGCTTCCACGCCCGTTCGGCGTCTATGCTTGCTGGGTCGGCACACGCTTCGACCGCACAAAGTGCAGACCCAGGCTGATTGGGCTGCTGGGCGAAGCCAAACTGGCATGGCAGCAGCGCGCTCGCACGCGGAAACGCAAGAAGGTCGCTACAACAGCACCAAACCTGCCACCAATCTCGATGCCGATGACAGCGAGTCGGCATCTGCGGGCCCCGTGTGAGCTCGGGGTCGGGTTTGTTTGGCGTCGTTTGCGCTCAGACGTCAGGATGCCCCTGGGAGCGGCATGCGGGCGGGGCAAGGGGCAGCGGCAGGCGCAAGCGCCGCAGTAGGAGGCAGGCTTGATTTTCGTTTCAACTCAATTCTCTTAAAGTCGGGTTGACTGCTGCAACATGTTGAGAAATCTTTTTCACAGTTCCAAACAATTTACAGGAAGATGTGCCCGGTTCCCACGTTTTTTTTTTGTTTTCCTCCTCGCGCCTTTTTTGCGTCTGCCGCGGCCAAGCTTTGCGGTATTTTCCTCGACCCTCTGTACACTAACACTCTCAACATCCCCCGAGGAACAGCAGCACCCATCTTAAGTATGGGAAACGGAGACTGCCGTCACTAGGACTTTTACAATTCCTACTGCTGCTAGATTGAGAATTTTCGGCTCTAGTTTTTTGGGGTTGCACATTTTTGGGGCCTATGTAGGGCTTTAATCTTTGGAGTTTTTAGGGGTGAGTGTTTGTACGAATTAGGGTTTTAAATCCAGGCTAAGGTTCTTTGTAGGATTTTTTGGGATTGGTGTTCAAGGTGTCTAGGGTTTAGGGTTTTTCGGGTGGCGTAGGCCCCGGCAGCAAAACCGACCCGGGACCGGTCATGCAGGCATACGAGTCCATGTGAGAAGAAAAAAACCTTCAGCTGCAAGCCTGATACTATCCTCCACCGATTTGGATAGCCTGGCGGCTTTGCGTTCGCACGCACAGCCCGGGTTCGCTGGAGGGTAGAAAAGATCTTTGAATTGCGCACAGTCGGTTTAACATTGCTACTGCACCACAACATACGTAAACGCCGTGGAAAAAGGGAGACGACCAATTTACGCAGCATCTTGCCCAGTTTTGAGTAAGCGCGAAAAATCGTCGAGACAAATTACAAAAACCCTGCAGGAAACCTCAAAAATGTGAAGCAATGAGCAAAGAGAACGAGGAGAACCAAAGAGAACTGAGGAAGCACCAACGAAGCACCGAGGAAGCACCGAGGAAGCACCGTGGAAGCACCGAGGAAGCACCGAGTAAGCACCGAGGAAGCACCGAGGAAACACCGAGGAAACCGGAAAGAACCGAGGAGAACCGAGGGGAACCCAGGAAAACCGAGGAAAAGAGAGAAAGGGAAAAAGCGCTAAAGAAGCTCAAGTTTGGCAAAAATCCAGAATTGTCCATGTGGCAGCACAATACCCAAAATGGGAAGGGAAAAGAATGATTTGGTTTGGTTGGATTTGCATTTTTCCCTACAAGTTAGCCGTTTGCCATCACATATTGGAAGGTGCGCTATAGTTCACCATGGCTGCGTGCTGTGGTTGTTGGCGCTCAGTATCCACTTGGACTGCATCTGGGCTACGCGTCTTGCCGGTGCCTTGTGTAAGCGTGTTGCTGCTGCCAGTGGCACTCCTTGGACGTTGGAACGTGGTTCGTCATGCTTGGTTGCTTGGTCGGGGTTGGGTCCCTCGTCGCCGCTTGCATTGGTTTCATCGCTTGTCTCGTGTTCATTTGGACCTCAGCGGCCCTGGGGTTCCTGAGAAGTTGCAGCATGATGTGCGTCAGGCTTGGCACTCGTGGTGCGTTGTAATGGCTTGTTTCGGATAGGCATGAGGTTCGCGGCCCTTCCTTGCGTTGGATTGGTGGGCCTTCCTTGTCCCGTGTTGATTGGGAAAACGTTCGTCGGTGGGCGGACAGCGTGCTCCAGCTGCTACTGTTGCGCTTGGTGCTATTTGGTCGCGGGCAACTTGGCAAGCAGTTGAGCAACCTCCATTCTATGCCAGCTTTCATTGCATGCGGGAAGGATGTCAGTGGGCCCCCTAAAACCCGTAGCCCATTT